CTTCAGTGTGAAGTGGTATTAGGGTCACCATTATGGAAATACAGTAAGATGGAGGAAAGGGCAAGGAACATGCAGAGTCTGGCAGTAAGGAGGTCTTTAGAAAACTCTTACTATAGGCAGCAGGCAAGATCAAGGTGACAGATGATCAGGGTATGGACTAGCATGGGAGACAAAAGGAAGAATCAACAAAATTTAGTAATTTCCCTAGATGTGGTGCTCAAGGAAACGGCAGAATCCACAGGGGCTATATGATTTCTATGCTCCATGTTTTGAAAATAAGGGTGGCAGAGTAAAAGCAAGCCTAAAAAGATAGGTAATTCTGAGAAGTTGGATTTGAACATCTTGAGATCATAGGCTCTCAGAATCGAGTAGGCAGGTGCAACAAAAGAGTAAGAAAAGTTTTATCTAGTGTATGACATTTGATTTGATTAGATTATTTTCTTTTTTTAAACATCTTTATTGGAGTATAATTGCTTTATAACGGTGTATTAGTTTCTGCTTTGTAACAAAGTGAATCAGCTATACGTATACATATATCCCCATATCCCCTCCCTCTTGCATCTCCCTCCCACCCTCCCTATCCCACCCCACTAGGTGATCACAAAGCACCTAGCTAATCTCCCTGTGCTATGCAGCTGCTTCCCACTAGCTATCTATTTTACATTTGGTAGTGTATATATGCCCATGCCACTCTCTCACTTCATCCCAGCTTACCCTTCCCCCTCCCCGTGTCCTCAAGTCCATTCTCTACGTCTGCATCGTTATTCCTGTCCTGCCCCAGGTTCTTCAGAACCTTTTTTTTTTTTTTTAAGATTCCATATATATGTGTTAGCATACGGTATTTGTTTTTTCTCTCTGACTTACTTCACTCTGTATGACAGACTCTAGGTCCATCCACCTCACTACAAATAACTCAATTTTGTTTTTCTTTTTATGGCTGAGTAATATTAGATTATTTTCTTAATTGTTCATTACCTTTATATTACTGGACTGGGAGTATTTAAATTGCTTTAGTTGGGTACATTTTGAGCAAATGCCCTTAGGTTTCAGTGTTTCTATTTTAAGGCTACCTTATGTGAAGAATGGTGAGGTAGGTAATTTAGCTGTGTTCTATTTCTGGTTAAAAAAAAAATTTTTTTTTTTGGATGCCTTTTTGGCTAAAACAAAATGTAGGATAAATTATGTTTATTTTTTGTCTCATTATCAGGATTCAAATTTCCATTCATTTATTTTGGTAGGGAATAGATGTCCGTTTGCCCTACCATTCAGATATGACTCTTATTTTGGGATTAGAGTTATACCTTTGTATAAACAGTTCACAGATAGATAAAACTTTTAAGACTGGAAGGGACCTTAGAAGGCCTTTGACATCATCCAATACAGCCTCCACATTTCTTGGATTAGTAATCTGAGATCAGGAGAATAATAATAATAATAGCTAACATTTATTAAGCTGTTATCTCACATAATCTTTATAAAACTCTACAAGTAAGTCCTATGGACAATGGGTGGCATTGCTAGCTTTAGGAATTGTTTTCTTTGTAAATGTCCTTCACAGTTTGAACAATTTAATTCTGTGCAGGAGAGACGAACAGTTAGTATTTGTTATTAAATTAAATTATTTCTTTAATATTTATATTAATAAAAATACTAATTATTAAGACAGTCCACACCTATTATTTATTTATATATTTATTTATTTATTTATATTTTTTGGCTGCGTTGGGTCTTCGTTGCTGCGCGCGGGCTTTCTCTAGTTGTGATGAGTGGGGGCAACTCTTTGTTGCAGTGCGTGGACTTCTCATTGTGGTGGCTTCTCTTGTTGCAGAGCACAGGCTCTAGGCGCGTGGGCTTCAGTAGTTGTGGCACATGGGCTCAGTGGTTGTGACTCGTGGGCTCTAGAGCACAGGCTCAGTAGTTGTGGTGCACGGGCTTCAGTAGTGTGGCATGTGGGCTCAGTAGTTGTGGCTCGTGGGCTCTAGAGCACAGGCTCAGTAGTTGTGGTGCACAGGCTTGGTTGCTCCGTGGCATGTGCGATCTTTCCGAACCAGGGCTCGAACCCGTGTCCCCTGCACTGGCAGGTGGATTCTTAACCACTGCACCACCAGGGAAGTCCCCACAGCTGTTATTTGATACAGTAAAATCATAATATTTAATGTAGGTATTATTATTTTTAAAGACTTTTTTCTTACTCCCACCACACGCATACATTACTTTCATATTTTAATAAATATATCTGTCTATACAGTATTTTAAAATATACTTAATAAAGTTCTATCTTAATTTTTTTCTTCTTGATCCAGTGATCCTGGAATTCAGATTAACTTTATTTAATTTTCATTGAATTTTGGTATTACTTCATTAGTCATATAATGTATAATAAAAAGTGTGTCTATATGTATGTATATACATACACATGTGTAATATAGCTATGTTGATAAGTTTGATATGCATTAAATTTTAATCTGTTTTATTACTCTGGAAATTTATTTCTTTATTGTCAACATTTCATTAATTTTTCTTACCTTTAAATATCTGGGCAGCTGAGAGGAGTTGTTTTGTTTGTTCACATTAGTACAAAGATGAAAATGGAATCAATACACTTGACCCTTGAACACTTGGAGATTAGAGGCACTGGCCCTCTGCAAAGCTGAAAATCCGCCTGTAATTTGTAGTCTGTCCTCCGTACATATAGTTTGGTTCCTCCGTATACAAACACGCATATCATGTAGTACTATAGCATTCACTGTTGAAAAAAATCTGCACGTAAGTGGACCCACGCAGTTCAAACTCACGTTGCTCAAGGGTCAACTCTATGTACTATGTATATAATAGAGAATATTTCATTTGAAAGGTTTGAAATCTTTTATTTTACACTTTGTGTCTATTAGATTTTACATATTCTTGCTCAAATAGATATTTTTTCTTACTAATTTCAAGAACTATGTCCATCATTTGATAGTTATGTGTTAAATGAGATAAATTTCAAATTATTTAAAATTTTAGTTCTTCCTAATTTTGCACTTTAAAACAAACCATAGATTTTGCCAGTGTTAAATAATAAATATGTGGCATCCATTCATTCAGTATATATTATGAAGGTCTATAGTGTCAGGCACACTTCTAGCTTAAGGGTAGTTGGGGAGAAGCACAGACATGGGTGCTGCCTGGATGGATCTAGCAGTCAATACTGTTTTCTTGATTTTAGATCCAAAGAGTTGTTCTTGTACACTAGGATTGATCTGCTTTGATCATTATTTTTAAGGAAAGGATTTGACAACTGATGGTAATCAAAACCTATCTGAGCATACAATATCCAGTTGTATTTATTGCTTTGCTTCCACAGTATGAATTCTAGCAGTCAGCCCTTGTTCAGTTTGCTGAGGGATGTTTTTCTTTTAATCAAAAAGTAATTTTAGTAAAATATTCTGTAAAATATTTAGTTTTTGTTAGTTTTTTAAAAATTGTGACATTTTGGGCTTCCCTGGTGGCACAGTGGTTGAGGGTCCGCCTGCTGATGCAGGGGACACGGGTTCGTGCCCTGGTCCAGGAGGATCCCACATGCCGCGGAGCGGCTGGGCCCGTGAGCCATGGCTGCTGAGCCTGCGTGTCCGGAGCCTGTTCTCCGCAACGGGAGAGGCCGCGGCAGTGAGAGGCCCGCGTACGGCAAAAAAAAAAAAAAAAAAAAAAAAAAAACAAGTACACATTTTAAACATTTTTAATTGCACAATTCATTAATTGCATCAAGTACATTTTCAGTGTTGTGCAGTCATTACCACTATCCTTTTCCAGATGTTTTTCATCATCCCTGCATAAAATCTACACTTTTAAGTATTAGAGAAATAATGGTTGTTTTCTTTCTTTCTTTTTTGGGCCTAGTCTCACCTGTCTTCCAACAGCCCAGTATTCATTGTGATCTGCTTGTACTTACTGAATTCTAAGCTTGTCATTTTAATTAGAATGGTTCCTTTTGATTTGTACTTGTTCTATGTTTCGGAGTATCTATTAAAATCGTATCATCTTTCATTTTACTGTCATTTTATATTTGTTTGTTCCTTTTGGAGCAATGAAATAGATACACATGAAGTTTGAAGGAGATCAAACTAAATGTAAACATGTAGAAAATTTTGTAAAAAGGGAAAAAAGATTGGGGATTAAAGATCGTGGTACACAAAAGAGTCTGACAGTCTCAAGACACAACTGGTTTTCGTCCCCTTGTTCTAAATGCCTGGAGCAGGAAGCACAGCCAGCATAAAAGATGTTTGGGCTTGTGATCTTAAAGAATTCAGTCCCTCAAACGCTGGATATGAATTGAACTCAACAGGAAGGATAGCTCAGTAGATCCTCCATCTGTATTACTCTTTGTGCTCAAACAAAAATACAGCTGTTGGGCTTCCCTGGTGGCGCAGTGGTTGAAAGTCCTCCTGCCGATGCAGGGGACACGGGTTCGTGCCCCGGTCCGGGAAGATCCCACATGCCGCAGAGCGGCTGGGCCCGTGAACCATGGCCGCTGGGCCTGCGCGTCTGGAGCCTGTGCTCCGCAACGGGAGAAGCCACAACAGTGAGAGGCCCGTGTACCACAAAAAAAAAAAAAAAAATACAGCTGTTTAAAGAGTTTTAAAAGTTATTTCTAAAAGAGTATTAAATACCCTATTCATATTACTTTGTTTTTTTTCTTCTGCTAAAATGTAGTTGCCTTGCCTACTTCTCTTCCTTATTTGTAACAATCGCACACTACTGTTATACAGTAAAGAAATGGACAACTTATCAGGGACCTTTTCTCAGACAATTAGTTCAGTTTTTTAGAAAGCAAATAAGAATTTTAAGAAAATAAGTATGAAAGTCATTTGAATTTTAACTTCACCTGTTAAGCAAGATAATTTGTATTACTTTGTCTAATAGTATATTAATATACTTCTCTTTTGATATAACAAAAGTATAATTTTCATCTGTGTTTATTTTTAAAGAGTGACAATTCTAATGAAATATATTTTTTACAGCTAAAAGATGGTGGCAAAGCATCCCAGGCAAACGTAAGAATAGGTGATGTGGTTCTCAGCATTGATGGAATAAGTGCACATGGCATGACTCATCTTGAAGCCCAGAACAAGATTAAGGGTTGTACAGGCTCTTTGAATATGACTCTGCAAAGGTAAATTGCTTTTTGTTTGGCTCTGAGAGAGAAGACAACACTGAGGAATGTGTTTTCGTGTGTCTGATTCATGGTGTTAACTAAGAAGCAGTTTCTGTTGCCATTGTTTCAGGTAGATAAATAAAAAATAGAATGGCTTTTAAATTGGGTAATTGAGCAGTATGAGAATTGGTGAAAGCTTTGGATTATAAGGCATGTATTCACATACGCATAAAGATTGTGTGTGCAGTTTCAGAGAGTTTAAGAATTCCTGAAATTTCTCAATGGAGTGCAGCCTAAGAATTCTTGTTACGGGGTAAAACTCTTGGCCTTAATATTCTGGGCAGTGTATTAGGGGTATTCTTTTAAGATACGATTTGGCTTTTCTTAGTATGTCTTTTTCCCTTTCTTTGCCTGGGCAGAAAAACAGAATTTTAATATACTCATTTGAAGTCCAAATTTTCTGAACTCAGTTTGGCTTCAATTTTAAAATAATCATCTCATTGATTGTACTATATCAGATCTTTTCAGCATCCCAACATTTGAACTGTATTGAGATCACCTGGATTGCTTGTTAAAAATAGTGATAGGGCTTCCCTGGTGGCGCAGTGGTTGAGAGTCTGCCTGCTGATGCAGGGGACACGGGTTCATGCTCCGGTCCGGGAGGATCCCACATGCTGCGGAGCGGCTGGGCCCATGAGCCATGGCCGCTGAGCCTGCGCGTCTGGAGCCTGTGCTCCGCAACGGGAGAGGCCACAACAGTGAGAGGCCTGCGTACCAGTAAAAAAAAAAAAAAAAAAAAGTTGTGATAGGAATCAGAATATCTGGAAGTAAGGACCAAGAATTATATATGAATAAGTTTTCTATGATTATTATGAAATATGAAGTTAGAACCACTGCAGTGTCTTGGATTGAGGGGAAGGGAGGAGAAAGGGGATAGAGGGAGGGTGATTGAATGATGGCTCTGAACCTTTAGGTTTATAAGGAAGTAGCTATCATTTACCAGGTGGTCATGGAGGGTTTTAAGCAAGTCTTGCTTTTGATAATTGCATAAGTGTTCTCTGGTCTATAAAATTTGGAAAATGCCGTTTTCCCCAAAAACATCTCATAGGCTTCCATAAATTGTTGTCTTTATTATAAATCTTTAAGAGGGGAACAACATGCCATACCTTCCTAACACTTTTAGCTAAGAAACTTTTTTTTCTTGGAGTCTCTCCTGGGAGTATTTAAAGGGTATATACAGGGCAAATTATATGTACTTGTCTGGAAGAGTATCAATTTGGTCTTAAAACTGAATAGGAAAAATTTAGAAAAACTTAGACTTTTTATAGATTTACTTTGTTGTTGCATGACTTTCTGACCAGTTCTCTTTTGGGGGAGTGTGTGTGTGTCTGTGTGTGAAATTGCTTTCAGTGGAACTGTTGAATCAAAGGTCATGTGTATTTAAAATTTGAAAGCTATTAGCTATACATTTTAATGCATAGAAAAGTAATCAATGAGAAAAAATAACCTTGCTAAAAAGTCCTGTTTCAATAGTATCCTTTCTGTTCTATATATTTAGACATGTAACACAAAAATTGTTACTAATTAAGTGAAAATAGTCATTTTTACTGATAGGCATTTTTGCTAAGTATGAATTTTGAAAGGGAGCCAAGAAGTCAAGAAGCTTAACTTGTCTGAGATATCAACAAAGCAAAACAAATGCAGATGATGTTGGGCTGTTTCTCAAATTCTAAAGTGAAAGTTTATGTAGGGTATAATCTGTCTTTCTGGGCTGTGTATCATTTCTTTCATAGTAGCCTACTTGTTTTCACATTGTGCTCCCTATTTTACAACCTAGGACTCAGTATCTTATTTTCTATTGACAGCACTTCTGGTTCCATAAGAGTAGATGAAAACCAGATGTTACCCTGTTTTGGATGAATTTGCAATTTAAGTAATCTGCTACTGACTCTAATACAGATTCTTTTAAGCTACTTGAATACAAAATCTAACAAACCAACTTGTTATAAACATTTGGAGATACTACTTTATCTTATCTTCGTATTTCTGAATATGGATATTCAGAGACTCAAACTATGAGAGAGAATTTTAGAGTCCTGTTGTTATTCATTGTTATTCTCCTTAAGGTTTTGAACACTTCTTGTGTTAGGTAATGTCAGCCTAAAAGAGATTTGCGTTTAAGAGAATTCATGGTATAACATTGACAGTACTACTGAAGAAAGACTTTTTGTTTTTTATGGACAAAATAAAACTTTGAAGAGTTATCATCAATTCTTCCCTATACCAAAGCCATTTTCTTCTTAAGTTTTCTCTTTCTTATATCAGAGCAAATATTTTTTCTTCCACTTATTTGAGTTTGAACAATAGCACCTTTAATTGGCCTCCAGTCACCTTACCCTCTTTATTCCATCTGTCACCAGCCAAACTGCTGAGCATTCTCCTTCCAAACTGAGTGACCCACAACAGTATTTTCTCTGTGTAACTGTTTTCTTCATGAATATCTAGTATTTTCCTTTACAGACTTGTCTTAGTCCAGTTTCCCTAGAAACAGAACCTGAGATGGTATTCATGTGCAAATGATGTATCAAGAGAGTTCTTTCACATGTTATTTGAAAGGGAGGGAGTAGGTCAAGCGGGATTGGGAAGAAGAAACTGAGATGAGGAAGTGTTTGGTTTCATTGGATGTCTAGCCTCAGCTTGACCCAGGAGGGAACTTTGGAGCAAAATTGTACCATAGAGTCTGTCTTGCCTTGAGGCAAGGGAACTTGGCTTTTGTCCCCTCTCCCCTTCATTCGTTAGTCATTGACCACCAGCTGCCCTGGAAATGTGTGTGTGTGCAGAAGCATGGAAGAGGTCTAGGAGGTAGCTTCTGTTACTTCCACAGAAAGTTGCTGGTATGAACCATTAGCAATGCAGGGAGCACCTTTGGGACTGGCTGTACCAAACCAGTCGAAGGGTTCCAGAGGACCCAGGCTGGGCACCAGTAGCACGTGCTGTGAGATTCCTTCCAGACTGGAGTCCTTTGCTCAGAGGATTAGGCTCTCTGTGACCCAGGCACACTCAGATTGTCCTCCCCTTAGGACTTCCCTGGCAGTCCAGTGGTTAAGACTCCATGCTCCCACTTCAGGGGCCGAGAGTTCGATCCCTAGTCAGGGATATATGCTGCCTGGTGCAGCCAAAAGTTTAAAAAGAAAAAAAGAAAGAAAGATTGTCCTCCCCAGATCATCACTACTCGTCAGCGAATACCATCTTTCAATTTAAGGTAGGTTTCTTACTGTCCCTCACATGCCTTTTTTGTCCTGTCATGAAATTTGCTTCATCTGGAATGCCCACCCACCTCTTCACTGCCAATACATACCTCCACCTCCACAAATCCCATATCAAACCTCATCATCTACCCATGGTCTTTTCTTACTATTGTAACTTATTCATTTTTTCCCCCTCTAAACTCTTATGACAAGTTTATACCATTCGACTCAGCATTTAATTGTACACTAGGTATAACCAGGAATGACAAGGCAGATTCCATGAATCATATACAAATAAACCTAACTGGTTAATAGTCATACCTAATACACTCTATGTAATTAACTAATTACTCTGTGTTTTACCAGCTAGACTCCTTGAAAGCAAAGACCTTGTTTTTTGCACTATTTGTATTTGGCATCTTGTATAGTTTTGTGCTTTTAGTGTCTAATAAATATTTGATGGGCACCAGCATTATTTCTCAAACTTGCCATCATTTATTTATTCCACAAATACTTTTTGAGCTATTGCTGTGTGCCAGGCACTGTTCTAGATGCTGGGGACATTCAGCAGTGAGCAAAACAAACAAAATCCCTGCCTCCTTGGTGCTGACCTTTTAGTGAGCAGAGGCAGACAATAAACAAGTTAAGTAATGGGAATTCTCTGTCTGTCCAGTGGTTAGGACTCGGTGCTTTCACTGCTGGGGCCCAGGTTTGATCCCTGGTCAGGGAACTAAGATCCCACAAGCCGTGCTGCACAGCCATTAATAAATAAATAAATAAACAAACAAGTAAGTAAATATGTATAGTATGTCACATGGAGGTGGTAAGTGCCTTGGGGAAAAATAAAGCATGTAAGGGACATAGGGAATGCAGGGGTAGGAAATTGCAATTTAAAATAGAGTGGTCGGGGGCTTCCCTGGTGGTGCAGTGGTTGAGAGTCCGCCTGCCGATGCAGGGGACACGGGTTCGTGCCCCAGTCTGGGAAGATCCCACATGCCACAGAGCAGCTGGGCCTGTGAGCCATGGTTGCTGAGCCTGTGCGTCCGGAGCCTGTGCTCCGCAACGGGAGAGGCCACAACGGTGAGAGGCCCACGTACCGCAAAAAAAATAAATTACATAAAATAAAGTAGAGTGGTCGGGAGAGCCTCAGTGAGAAGGTTATTGGATATCTGGGTCAAGAGTGTCCCAGGCAGGGGGAAGAACTGGTGCAGTGGTCCTGTCAGGAGCAGAGGGGGTGAAGGCAGCAAGGTCAGAAGTGAGGTCAGAGAGATAGCAGGAGGTGAGTGGAGATGGGACAGTACTTGTAGGACCCATGTGTCACTGCAATATTTGTAATCGACTTTAAATTTTCCTGGGCCTATAGAAAGTTGTGAGAAAGCCTTGAGTTATAGCTGCTTGGCCAGCTCTACAGCAGGATTTGGGAGAGAGGTGGTTTCATCATTGGAAAGGGACTAGAAGGAAGAGCAGACCAAGCCTCACCCCAGTCTTGATAGCCACGGCACTGCTTTTTTCTTCTAGTGCGGTAGAAATACTGGATGATTACCACTTCTGCTGATCTCCACCCAAGAACCCCCAGCAGGAGACTATGACAGAGAAAACCCATCTTTTTTTTTTTTATTAATTAATTAATTTATTTATTTATTTTTTGCTGCGTTTGGTGTTCGTTGCTGTGCGCGGGCTTTCTCTAGTTGCGGTGAGTGGGGGCTACTCTTTGTTGCAGTGCACGGGCTTCTCATTGCAGTAGCTTCTCGTTGCAGAGTACGGGCTCTA